ATAAACACCATTGCAAACAGATGAATAACAGAGCAATTTGGTTCCATCCAGATACATAAAATCACTAACACTGCCTCTAATTTTACTCACCACAAACCAGAGTCAACTTAGGTGGCATCTAAATAATTAAGTGCCATCTATCAAACTAGAGCTGACCAAGCATGGGCGCCCGCAGAGGGGGGGGGGGGCAATAAACACAACATACCACGAGTAACTGACAACAACATACCACGAGTAACTAACAACAACGTACCATGGGTAACTAACAGCAACATACCACGAGTTACTAACAACAACATACATGAGTAACCAACAACAACATATCACGAGTAACTAACAACAACATACCACGAGTAACTAACAACAACATACCAAGGATAACTAACAAACAACGTACCATGAGTAACTAACCACAACATATCACGAGTAACTAACAACAACATACCACGAGTAACTAACAACAACATACCAAGGGTAACTAACAACAGCATACCATGAGTAACTAACAACAACATAACCAAGGGTAACTAACAACAACATACCACGAGTAACTAACAACAACATATCACGAGTAACTAACAACAACATACCACGAGTAACTAACAACAACATAGCACGAGTAACTAACAACAACATATCATGAGTAACTAAACACAACATACCACGAGTAACTAACAACAACATAGCATGAGTAACTAAACACAACATACCACGAGTAACTAACCACAGCATACCACGAGCAACTAACAACAACTTACCACGAGTAACTAACAACAACTTACCACGAGTAACTAACAACAACATACCAAGAGTAACAAACTACAACATACCATGAGTAACTAACAACAACATACATCTATCATTTGCGGACTATGTTCTAGCATCTATCATTTGCGGACTATGTTCTAGCATCTATCATTTGCGGACTATTTTCAAGCATCTATCATTTGCGGACTATGTTCTAGCATCTATCATTTGCGGACTATGTTCTTGCATCTATCATTTGCGGACTATGTTCTAGCATCTATCATTTGCGGACTATGTTCTAGCATCTATCATTTGCGGACTATGTTCTAGCATCTATCATTTGCGGACTATTTTCTAGCATCTATCATTTGCGGACTATGTTCTAGCATCTATCATTTGCGGACTATGTTCTAGCGGACTATGTTCTAGCATCTATCATTTGCGGACTATGTTCTAGCATCTATCATTTGCGGACTATTTTCTAGCATCTATCATTTGCGGACTATGTTCTAGCATCTATCATTTGCGGACTATGTTCTAACATCTATCATTTACGGACTATGTTCTAGCATCTAGCATTTACGGACTATGTTCTAACATCTAGCATTTACGGACTATGTTCTAACATCTATCATTTACGGACTATGTTCTAACATCTAGCATTTGCGGACTATGCTCTAACATCTAGCATTTACGGACTATGTTCTAACATCTAGCATTTACGGACTATGTTCTAACATCTAGCATTTACGGACTATGTTCTAACATCTAGCATTTACGGACTATGTTCTAACATTTATCATTTACGGACTATGTTCTAACATTTATCATTTGCGGACTATGTTCTAACATCTAGCATTTGCGGACTATGTTCTAACATCTATCATTTGCGGACTATGCTCTAACATCTAGCATTTACGGACTATGTTCTAACATCTATCATTTACGGACTATGTTCTAACATCTATCATTTACGGACTATGTTCTAACATCTAGCATTTACGGACTATGTTCTAACATCTAGCATTTGCGGACTATGTTCTAACATCTATCATTTGCGGACTATGCTCTAACATCTAGCATTTACGGACTATGTTCTAACATCTATCATTTACTGACTATGTTCTAACATCTAGCATTTACGGACTATGTTCTAACATCTAGCATTTACGGACTATGTTCTAACATCTATCATTTACGGACTATGTTCTAACATCTATCATTTACGGACTATGTTCTAGCATCTAGCATTTACGGACTATGTTCTAACATCTAGCATTTACGGACTATGTTCTAGCATCTAGCATTTACGGACTATGTTCTAACATCTAGCATTTACGGACTATGTTCTAACATCTATCATTTACGGACTATGTTCTAACATCTAGCATTTGCGGACTATGCTCTAACATCTAGCATTTACGGACTATGTTCTAACATCTAGCAATTACGGACTATGTTCTAACATCTAGCATTTACGGACTATGTTCTAACATCTAGCATTTACGGACTATGTTCTAACATTTATCATTTACGGACTATGTTCTAACATCTAGCATTTGCGGACTATGTTCTAACATCTAGCATTTGCGGACTATGTTCTAACATCTATCATTTTCGGACTATGTTCTAACATTTATCATTTGCGGACTATGCTCTAGCATCTAGCATTTGCGGACTATGCTCTAGCATCTATCATTTACGGACTATGTTCTAACATCTATCATTTACGGACTATGTTCTAACATTTATCATTTACGGACTATGTTCTAACATTTATCATTTACGGACTATGTTCTAACATTTATCATTTGCGGACTATGTTCTAGCATCTATCATTTGCGGACTATGTTCTAACATCTATCATTTACGGACTATGTTCTAACATCTATCATTTACGGACTATGTTCTAACATCTAGCATTTACGGAGTATGTTCTAGCATCTAGCAATAACGGACTATGTTCTAGCATCTATCATTTACGGACTATGTTCTAGCATCTAGCATTTACGGACTATGTTCTAGCGTCCAAACGATAACAATAGCAATAAACAACAACAATAACAACCAAACAGTTAATGAGAAACAAATTATTGATCAACTTATTAATGGACATCAGTTATCTTTATTTTTATGAACTCGGAAGAAATGGATGAATATTTGCGTCAAATGGTCATATTGCTTCTGTATAAATGTGGTCGTGGCGAAATGGTCATATGTCTTCTTTGTAAATGTGGTCGTGGCGAAAAAGCGTGTGAGAGCATGTGTAACAAAAGTACAGAGCAGCTAATGTGAATTTACGGCTCCCGACTTGTAGTGACAATCTGTTACTTGACTTTACAGGTCCTGGATTGTAGTGAAAAAATTTGACTTGACTTTATAGGTCCTTGCTTGTAGTGACAATCTGTTACTTTTTGTTTTTGACATTTTTAAAAGCAATAAAATCCTACTCTACAATCTCGTATCTTGGTTTCTCGGACAGCATTTGTTCATTGAAACACCGGGGTGGTGGTGGGTGGGGTCTCCATGGATCCCGCTGGAGAAATCCTTCAAAGCCTAATGTAGTCTCCAACATAAAGCTGTCATACTGACGGACACTCGAACACAATCTAGACCAAAGCTGTCATACTGACGGACACTCGAACACAAGCTAGAACAAAGCTGTCGTACTGACTGAAATTCGAACGCAAGCTGGAACAAAGCTGTCATACTAAATGACACTCGAACGCCAGCTAGACCAAAGCTGTCATACTGACTGACACTCGAACACAAGCTAGAACAAAGCCATCACATAGACTGACACTCGAACATAAGCTAGTACAAAGCTGTTACACTGAATGATACTAGAACGCAAGCTGGAACAAAGCTGTCATACTGACTGACACTCGAACGCAAGCTGGAACAAAGATGTCACACTGACTGACACTCGAACACAAGCTAGAACAAAGCGGTCATACTGACTGACACTCGAACACAAGTTAGAACAAAGCTGTCACACTGACTGACACTCGAACACAAGCTAGAACAAAGCTGTCGTACTGACTGACATTCGAACACAAGCTAGAACAAAGCTGTCGTACTGACTGACACTCGAACGCAAGCTATAACAAAGCTGTCACACTGACTGACACTCGAACACAAGCTAGAACAAAGCTGTCGTACTGACTGACACTCGAACACAAGCTAGAACAAAGCTGTTGTACTGACTGACACTCAAACACAAGCTAGAACAAAGCTGTCATACTAAATGACACTCAAACACAAGCTAGAACAAAGCTGTCACACTGACTGACACTCAAAGAAAAGCTAGAACAAAGCTGTTGATCTGACTGACACTCGAACACAAGCTAGAACAAAGCCGTCACACTGACTGACACTCAAACATAAGCTAGTACAAAGCTGTCGTACTGATTGACACTCGATCACAAGATAGAACAAAGCTGTCGTACTGACTGACACTCGGACACAAGCTAGAACAAAGCCGTCGTACTGACTGACACTCGAACATAAGCTAGTACAAAGCTGTCGTACTGACTGACACTCGGACACAAGCTAGAACAAAGCTGTCGTACTGACTGACACTCGAACACAAGCTAGAACAAAGCTGTTGTACTGACTGACACTAGAACGCAACCTTGAAAAAGGCTGTCATACTGACTGGTGTCAAATCTCTTTTTTTTTCCCTCCTTCCCTCAGTGGATAAACATTAAAATTTTAACCCTTTAAGTCCTGACCTCGAACACATGAACGAACCGGATGTCAAACCCACACGAACATTTTAACTCTTTTCCTCCCGATGCCATGTACATAGCTTCATTTAACCTCTTACATCCTCTCTGTTACAGAATTTTCGTCGATCACCTTGTGTGTAATGTGTCTGGGTGTCTGTCAATAGTTAAATAGCTTTACAATACGGTATTGCGTCATAAACACCCAGTAACTCAGTTACTGTAGCTCATTGTCATATACCGCAGCTGACATCTGTGCAAGCCTCGTTCGTGACACCGACGCTTCGGTCGTCATCATCTGACGTCACAAGATACGTATCATTGTCACCGCAGCCGACTTTGACGCCGTCGCCTTCTCGCGCGACGCGACTTGGTTTCTGACCCACGTGATCGCCACTTCCTGTCACGCAGCCGACGTGATGGAAGGTTTCGGTCACGTGATCTTCACCGCAGGAAACGCGAGGCACGTGACCCTTGATTTGTGGGCTGAGGCGTATCGTGTAATCTTCCCCGGGACCGTGATCGTCATTCTCCTTGACGTGACGCGGGCGTGAGCTTCTTCCTGAATTCCTGGGAACTGAAGTGTGACAGTTGTCTACGCCTCGATCTTCGGTTGCCTTAACGTGACACAAACGCAAGCTTCTGCTCGACCCGGGTCTAGAACGGTCATCGTCGGATTCTTTCAGACGGGCCAATCGTGGACTTCTGATAGGACTGGGACAAACACTGTGACAGTTGTCACCGGCGTGATCCTTCGTCGCGGTCACGTGACACAAACGCGGCGAATGCCCGCCGGGCCGGACGCAGTCCTCCCGGGCGCCGTGGCAACAGACGGACGGGGGCAGGAGGTTGTGGTCGACGAAGCAGACGTGACCCTTGGGGCTGATGACCGCCACCTGGTCCTCGTCGCCGCCCCTGAAGACGTCGTCGTACACGGGAGGCGGCGAAAGCGGCAGGTCGTCCTCCACGTCCTTGGCGGTGGCGTGTATGACGACCTCGATGACGTCGTCCACGTCATGCACCGTCAGGTTAGTGGAGCTGGAAACCGTTTCGACCACGCAGGACGAGTAGGATGGCGGGTTGTCGCGGGAAAGGGGTGACTCTGGTGGGGGCGATAGTTGGGGGAGGGGGAGACTTTTAATTTTAAAATACATGTTTATATATTTTTTTATTTCTTCTTTAAAATGTCCTTAATGCACCGTCAGGTTAGTGGAGCTGGAAACCGTTTCGACCACGCAGGACGAGTAGGATGGCGGGTTGTCGCGGGAAAGGGGTGACTCTGGTGGGGGGGGGGAGGGGAGGGGAGTGGGGGAAACAAGATATACTTGAAATTTTAAAGTTTGAAAGTTTGTTTACTGATACTAGAAATTATGTATCATAACTTAATCAATCTTAATATGTAAATACACATCTCAAAGGTGATATGGTCAATACATCTTACCTGGCCTGTCACTAACAGCCTCTAAGATAATGCCACCTTACCTGGCCTGCCACCACCAATCGTCTGTTACAAATCCTCCTACCTGGCCTGTCACCATAAATAGTCTGCTACTAACCCACCTTACCTGACCTGTCACTACCACCCTCTTGTCACTACCACGCTCTAAGATTATGCCATCTTACCTGGCCTGTCACCACCAATCGTCTGCTACAAACCCACCTTACCTGACCTGTCACTACCACCCTCTTGTCACTACCAACCTCTAAGATAATGCTATCTTACCCGGCCTGCCACCCCCCAATCGTCTGCTACAAACCCACCTTACCTGACCTGTCACTACCACCCTCTTGTCACTACCAACCTTTAAGATAATGCTATCTTACCAGGCATGTCACCCCCCAATCGTCTGCAACTAACCCACCTTACCTGGCCTGTCACTGCCAAACTCTATAAGCACCCCATCTCACCTGGCCTGTCACTGCCAAACTCTTTAAGCACCCCATCTCACCTGGCTTGTCGATGCTGGCCTGCAGCCTCGCCTGATTCTCCCTGTTGATTCGCTTGGTCCTGACATGCCTGTACACTAATCCTATAGTGATGGCACACAGGACAGTACACACGCTGATGGGTACGCTGTACACAACCACATCATCCCTGCAACAGACATTGTTTAAACGGGCGCATGAATATGACAACGTATCATGAGATTGATAACTCTGTATCTGGAAGTTAAGGTTAGTATCAAGAATCAGGTGTCAAGTACCTGGGGGCGGGGGGGGGGAGGGGGACGCTTTGAGGCTCCCTCAAGATGCACTCTCCACCAAATGATAGTGTATTCATTTTAAAACGTTTTGAGACTCCCTTAAGGTGCACTCTCCACCAAATGATAGTGTATTCATTTTAAAACGTTTTGAGACTCCCTTAAGGTGCACTCTCCACCAAATGATAGTGTATTCATTTTAAAACGTTTTGAGACTCCCTTAAGGTGCACTCTCCACCAAATAATAATGTATTCATTTGAAAGCAAAACACAAATGAAAACAGACAAAAAAGGGTCTGGAACCGCTCTCATCAAGTTGACTGCATTGTCTGCAAGGAAACATACAACTTCAATGGTTGAACATCAATTGTGTTAAACGTCCATTGTGATAAACGTCCATTGTGTTAAGCATCCATTGTGTTAAACATTCATTGTGTTAAACGTCCATTGTGTTAAATGTCCATTGTGTTAAGCATCCATTGTGTTAAACATTCATTGTGTTAAACGTCCATTGTGTTAAACGTCCATTGTGTTAAACGTCCATTGTGTTAAGCATCCATTGTGTTAAACATTCATTGTGTGAAACGTCCATTGTGTTAAACGTCCATTGTGTTAAACGTCCATTGTGTTAAACGTCCATTGTGTTAAACGTCCATTGATTTAAACATACAGTGGGGTAAACGTACAGTGGGCTAAATAAACAGTGGATTACACATACAGTGGGTTAAATAAAAAATGGGTTAAACATACAGTGGGTTAAATAAAGAGTGGGATAAATAAACAGTGGGTTAAACACACAGTGGGTTAAACACACAGTGGGTTAAATAAACAGTGGGTTAAATATACACTGGGTTAAATAAACATTGGGTTGAACATACAGTGAGTTAAATAAACAGTGGGTTAAACATACAGTGAGTTAAATAAACAGTGGGTTAAACATACAGTGAGTTAAATAAACAGTGGGTTAAACATACAGTGAGTTAAATACACAGTGGGTTAAACATACAGTGAGTTAAATAAACAGTGGGTTAAATAAACAATGAGTTAAATAAACAGTGGGTTAAACATACAGTGAGTTAAATAAACAGTGGGTTAAACATACAGTGAGTTAAATAAACAGTGGTTTAAACATACAGTGGGTTAAAAAACAGTGGGTTAAGCATACAGTGGGTTAAATAAACAGTGGGTTAAACCTACAGTGAGTTAAATAAACAGTGAGTTGTAATGGAGTAGTTAAACGAATGCTGATGATATAAGGTAGAACATGTTTCGATAGTGTGTCTTTTTGACTGGTAGTTAGTACTTAAGGGACTGAACCCTTGTAGTTAGTGATAAAGGGATTGAACCGTTGTAGATAGTGATAAAGGGATTGAATCCTTGTAGTTAGCGATAAAGGGATTGAATCCTTGTAGTTAGCGATAAAGGAATTGAACCCTTGTAGTTAGCGATAAAGGGATTGAACCCTTGAAGTTAGCGATAAAGGGATTGAACCCTTGAAGTTAGCGATAAAGGGATTGAACCCTTGTAGTTAGCGATAAAGGGATTGAACCCTTGAAGTTAGCGATAAAGGGATTGAATCCTTGTAGTTAGCGATAAAGGGATTGAATCCTTGTAGTTAGCGATAAAGGGATTGAATCCTTGTAGTTAGCGATAAAGGGATTGAATCCTTGTAGTTAGCGATAAAGGGATTGAATCCTTGTAGTTAGCAATAAAGGGATTGAATCCTTGTAGTTAGCGATAAAGGGATTGAACCCTTGTAGTTAGCGATAAAGGGATTGAAACCTTGAAGTTAGCGATAAAGGGATTGAACCCTTGAAGTTATCGATAAAGGGATTGAATCCTTGTAGTTAGCGATAAAGCGATTGAACCCTTGTAGTTAGTGATAAAGGGATTGAATCCTTGTAGTTAGCGATAAAGGGATTGAATCATTGTAGTTAGCGATAAAGGGATTGATCCATGTTCAGAAAGTTCGTACAATAGAGCTGACAAGGTCTGACCACTCACGTCGTCCGGTAACAGCATCCGTCTGCTGACCCTGGACAACAGCCTCTGGTACAGGATATCAGGCGTGCCGTGGTCTGGCCGTCTGAGGCTGGTGCCGTCGTGTTGCCGCCATCGTCATTGCCGGGGTAGGGGCAGTACACTGCAGCACCTGAGGACATTTAGGCAGCCTTAGAAGTATGGACAGTTTAAGTATGTCTGTACGCGGTCAAACTTTTATGTCTGTACACCGTACATCTTGTATGTCTGTACACAGTACATCTTGTACGCCTGTACATGGTATATCTTGTATGTCCGTATACAGTACATCTTGTATGTCTGTACACGGTATATCTTGTATGTCCGTATAAAGTACATCTTGTATGTCTATACACAGTACATATATATTGTATGTCTTGAACACATTCGTCTAGCTAGAATGTTGAATAAATTAAATCTTGTGCTCAATGTCACCACTTAACAATATATTAATTTAAAGCTTTATAGTAACTATGTTAAAATATTCAATTATATTAATGTCCCAAATGTCACAATGATACGTGATATTAATGTCACATTTGTCACAATATTTAATGTTATTAATGTCACATCTGTTACAATGTTCAATAATATTAATGTCACATCTTTCACAATATTCAATTTTATTAATGTCACATCTGTCACAATGTTCAATAATATTAATGTCACATCTGTCACAATGTTCAATGATATTAATATCACATCTGTCACAATGTTCAATAATATTAATGTCACATCTGTCACAATGTTCAATTATATTAATGTCACATCTGTTACAACGTAACCAATGACTGATACCAAGACTTTGAGTCATGTTGACAGAAAGATGAGTAGGCAATCTTCCTTGAAGTAATGCATTGTTTATAGTAGTAGACACTAATTCTTAGCCATACATTTTGTAAAGCACAACCAACATATGACCAGTCGGAAAGGAATTATACATTTAAATTTAAACCTGTAACACATTTATAACTAACACTATGATAAATTCATGACCAAACACTGTAATAAGTTTATGACCAAACACTGTAATAAGTTTATGACCAAACACTGTAATAAGTTTATGACCAAACACTGTAATAAGTTTATGACCTAACTCTATAATAAATGTATGGCCTAATACTATAACAAATAATGACCTCACACTATAACAAGTTTATGACCTAACACTCTAATAAGTATATGACCTAACATAATAATAAGTTTATGACTTAACAATATCATAAGAAATTACCTAACATTATAATAATTATATGACCTAACACAATAATAAGTTTATGACCTAACACTGTAATATGTTTATGACCTTAAACTAAATAATTTTATGACCTAACACTTAAATAAGTAATGAACTAAAACTATAATAATTTTATAACCTAACAATATAATAAGTTTATGACCTAAAAATAAATAAGATTATGACCTAGCACTTTAATAAGTAATGTACTAACACTATAATAAGTTTATGACCTAAAACTAAATAAGTTTATGACCTAACACTTTAATAAGTAATGAAGTAACATTATAATAAATTTATGACCTAACACTATAATAAATAATGACCTAACACTATAATAAGTAATGACCTAAAACTAAAATAAGTTTCTGACCTAACACTGTAATAAGTAATGACCTAACACTATAATAAGTAATGACCTAAAACTAAAATAAATTTATGACCTAACACTGTAATAAGTATATGACCTAACACAATAATAAGTAGGTGAAAAACCACCTTAACATGCCTATGACCAAATAGTATACTAGATAGAAGAACTATAAGGTGTCGATGCAATCAAATATTTGAACACGC